ACTGTAACCTCCCAGAAATGGCAGCATTTTTATTTTTAGTACTATTCCATATTAGGGGTAAAGGAAGGCACTCGAGATTTTCTTCTATGGCATCAGTAAGCTAGTATTTCCTTACAGAGGCTATGCTTGGATCCTTCCATGCATGATGATGAGTAGGATTCTCTCCACTTTACCAACAAGAAAATCCAGACTTGGAAAGTTAAATGACTTGAGTTTGGATCTCAAGCTTTTGTCAGTCCCTCGGTAAGCGACAGGGAAGCTGAGAAGGGTGAGAAACAAAACATCCCACTCAGAAATCAAGGAGCTCTGACAGAAAGGCAGCCTGAGATTAAATTATGGAATGCTTTTATCAGTGTCCCAGCCCCATCTTTCTTCAGTTCCCCTCTTTCCTTCCAAAGATCCTCTTTTTACTCCACCTTTTCCCTCCCCAGAAAACCGCCAAGAGGCCTCCACCACCACTTCTTGCCCCGGAAGAAGTGTTTGGCCCCCCCCCCCCCCAGGTCCCGGTCTTTGTCCTTCCTCTCCGTCCTCTGCTTCATAGTAAGGGCCACCGCCGGGGAGAAGAGTGTGATGAACTAATGCGTTCTAAGGCAACTGCCAAGGCCCCTTGTTAATATATTCCTTGTCTCAGAGAGAGCTGCGTTGTTCAAAGAGACCACAGGGAAGCACCCACACCGTAACTCAAAGGAATAAGATTTTGAATGCAGGAATTTCGGGCGGTGAGCAGGAGGCTGGGGAAATATTCTCTCAACGGCCGCAGGCTTCCTGGCACCCTGAACGCCCTGCCATGGGAGAGCCTCAGGTCCCGTACTACAGTGTTGTAAAACAGGAAGCCCGTCCCTATGTCCTCCGCCCAGGACACAGTCACCATTTATGGCAGGCCTGTGACAAGGGACAGAGCCATCTCTGACGGAGGCTAGCCGGGAGGTCAGGACTACAGGAGTCACAGCCCAGAGCAGCTGCCCTCACTGGCCTGCCTGGCACCAGACTGGGCCAGACCCGACTGCCCACCCTTCCCCAGGAACCAGACCTGCCTCCAACAGGCAACTCATCAAAAGGCCTAGACCTCACTGTGGCTCACTAGTTCTCTGAGCCGCCTGGTTTCCTTGCCCGGTAGAGTTTAATGCAGGCAGCGTCCTAGCGGGACATCCAAACTCCCCCACCCCCTAGTGGAGAGAGGAAAGCCCTGCGCAGCCGGCCTCCGGTCCCTGCTCCTACAGTCACAGCAGCTCTCCACCAGCTGGGTAGAATGGACTATTGCAGAAAGGAGAAGGAGGCCGGGCCAGGCACATGTGTTCCTCCCCAGGCCTCCCCTGAGGGTCTTTGATGGCTTTCCCACAAAGTTTTTCTGGCCTGCACTGATCACGCCAAGTCTTAGACCGTGAGATGTCAAATATGTGAACGAAAATGGAAAAACTGTGTCCGTGCACTCATTCTCTCATTGGGAGTACAAGGAATTAGGGGACCAGATTCTGGGAGGCTTTACTCTTCCGTAATCAGCCAGATGTTTGGGCTGGCCCGGATCACACAGGCTCAACAGAACGCCGCACTCCCCAGTGGAGGTAAATCACCTCGCTCAGAGGCCCATGTCACCTGCGGTTACACCAGCTCCAAGACCCCAAGGAGGCTAATCACTGTCCCCAGACCAAGGGCCAGCTTGACGCGCCACCTTTGGGGCTTAACCTCTGACACACTTGACACGTGGAGGACCTTCGGGGTTGGTTTTGGGGTATGTTGGGGGGCTTATTTGTCGTTTGTCCATAAACTGACAAAAACGTAAGAAAGTTCCATTTTCTTGAATTCCTTAGCTAGAGGAGCATCTGTGCTCAATGACTCCCTCTGATACAGGGTTTCAAGGAAGGGTGACTGGGACAGTGACAAGGTGCAGCCTGTCCCACCAAAAGGAGGGGCACACAAGAACATTCCAGGCCTTCACCAGGTCACTTGTTCCTTCCACATGCATCAGTCTGACCATCAGGGTGGGAAGGTAAATGAGTCCCCCAGATACGTTCTTCCAGAAGCGCCCCCAAGTCTAGTGAGGGAGGCAGAGGGTAGGGGGAGGGCCGAGTATTTACCATGTGCCTTGACGGAGGAAGGAACTACATAGTCGAGAAGCTCACAGGAGATGCCATTTTCTTTGAGTCTTGAAAAATGAGCAGAAGAAATCCCCTTCTCAGGGATTTTTTTTTAAGAAGCATCCTCACCCTGCCACAAATGTCTACTACTAACTCAGGGCTCCAAGGCCAGCCAAGAGGAAGCCTTTGCCCCCATTCCACCCTCGGCCATGTGTCTCCCCTCCAATGACTACTTCTAGATCGAGAATGATGGGTGGCAAACATTGGAGCCAACTTCAAAGTTAGAAGATTTCACGTTAAGACTAATCTTGAATTTTTCTCTCTTCTAGAAAAACTGGAAGATACGATGACACTGGGCCCATACTTGGCACGGCAGCTCTAGGCTGGGACTGAGCGGGAGCTTCCCCCATCACATGATGCACATACCAGTTAGCCTTTGTTGTGTAAGAAACCACCTCAAATCGTGGCTTAAAACAATAATCATTTATTAGCTATGACTATCTGCAATTTGGATTGGGCTCACCTAAGTGTTTCTTCCGCTGGTCTCGCCTAGGCTCACACACACGGCCACAGTCAGAAGCTGACAGACATTGGATCGGACACCTCAGTTTTCTTCTACGTGGCCTGTCCAGCAGGCTAGCTCAGTGCTCTCCAAGCCTCCCTCTACATACCTTTCAATAATGTCCCATTGGTTAAAGCAAGACACAAGATCAGTCAGATTCACAAGTTAGTGAAACAGACTTCGTCTCTTGATAGGAGAGGCTACGAAGAATCTATGGCTATTTTTTCCAGGGGCTCTCCAGCTCACCATAATCCCCACCCCACAGAAGCTACAGGCCAGCTGCCATTTCCCCCTTAACTCGAACTCCTGGTTTTCTCACATCTGGTCTTTCTCAAGACTTCACTATACCTGGAACTCTGTAGGTATCCAAATGAAAAAACTGAACATAGAACTCTGGTTCTATGGCGTGGCTCGGAACAAGCATGCCCGACCTTTCCACGGGCGCACAGGGGAAAGCAAAATGGATTTGATGACAATCAAATCCAGAAAGACGATCCAAGGTAGTAGGTGAAGGCGCTGCCCAAGAAAGGTCAGCCTGGCCAAGATCCCAAGTGGTGAACAACAAGGTAGAGAGAACATCAGCAATGCTGAGCCCGTGCAGAATCTCCCGTGAGAAGGGCATGTCCGTAGAGGAGGGAGGGCAAGGTAGCCCCCAGAAGAACTCACAAAGAGCCAACTGCAGGCAAGAAAAGAAGAGGAAACTCCGCTTTCACAAATGATGACCAAACTGGCTCTGCAGCTCAGCGTTCAGGGGCAGCAGAGAGCCAGCCCAGCATGCCCAGGGAAGTGGTAATGCCCCACACTTCCACTGGCAGGGCATGTAGAGAACCCAAAGGATTGCAAAACAGGATGCTTGAGGATCAAACCTAGTCTCTCGATGAGCAGAAGTTCCAGAACATGGTACAGAACATCTCCAGACGACACAAGAGGAGCCAGGGAGGGCTCGGTTAGGCCAAGTTCTACCGGAACTAATGGACAGCACCTGTTACAATGAAAATGGTTATCCTTCCCCCTTTCCATGAGAACTGTTTGGCTTTTGCTCTCAGGGGTTCAAAATTGTATCTGCAGTTCCTAAACCTCTTAAAAGATGACACTATAATCCATAGGCTAAAATACACATCGCAGTGAAGAACACAACACCCCCTATGAAGTATTCCTGACGTAAATGAATGAATCCAATCAAGCCTTCAGACTTAAACTTCTAGGACACAGGAAACGCTGGGGACAGAAGAAGAGGTAAGGAAACACCATGAAGAAACGCTAAGACGTTCAGAATGTGGGACTTGGTACCACTCGGTCAGCCTAGCCTCTTGTCATAGTAATTTCTGAAAAGGAGAGGGAGGCAGTAGACTGTTCTAGAATGAGACTAACGTACACCAAGCAAAGGCAATGCAGAAATGCTGGCTGGATTCTAATCCCTACAAAATGAAAATCCCAGCCATGGAACCATTTGGGCAGATAAACAGGGACACCGTAACGTAGATTGCATATTGGATGACATTAGGAAATTACTGTTGTTTCGGCATGATGATGATATTGTATATAAGGAGGGGTGCCTTCTTGATTTAGGAGATACATGCTGGAGTATTTAAGGTTTGTGCCAGTTAGTAAAATGCTGTCTCTTGACTCCAAACTCAGTACTCTATACTCGGCCTCCGATGCTAGATCTGGACTCTGCAAACCCTCTGACAGGCTCTGCCAACCCTCTGACAGGCTCTGCCACTCAGCACGGCCTTTTCACCCTGGCACCAAGCACTTCTTGGCAGCTGCAGCCACTGAAGCCAGCGCCACACAGACACCAGCACCCTCCAGCCAGCCCCCCGCTCAGAGGTCTGGGTCCCAGCCCACGCTCAGAGGCCAGCACCAGCCCAAGCAGCCTCCCTGCCAGGCTTCTAGTTGAAGAATCCCAGGCTTTCACCTTTATGCCGCCAGCCTCGCCTCCTCCACGATTCCTTAGAGTTCTCTTCCTACTTTTGCAGTTCCCTGGTTATAAGTGTATACCTAGGTAAGTCATTCGAGTAAATTCTCTCTACTCAAATAGCAGGTGTGGTTTCTGTCTCCCAAATGGGTGAAGTGTCATAACGTTTGCAACGTGCTTTAAAAAGAGTCAGCCAGGGGCGCCTGGGTGGCGCAGTCAGTTAAGCGTCCGACTTCAGCCAGGTCACGATCTCGAGATCCCTGAGTTCGAGCCCCGCGTCGGGCTCTGGGCTGACGGCTCAGAGCCTGGAGCCTGTTTCCGATTCTGTGTCTCCCTCTCTCTCTGCCCCTCCCCCCGTTCATGCTCTGTCTCTCTCTGTCCCAAAAATAAATAAACGTTGAAAAAAAAAATTTTTTTTAAAAAGAGTCAGCCGAACTGAAAAAAATAAAGACACACAGATCTATGTGTGTATACATATAACAGACACACAGATACACAAATTCACATGGGGACAAAGGAACTAGAGACAAAACTGTGGAATCTAGGTGATGAATGAATGAATCTAGCAGTGCTCATATGAGACCTGAATTCAACACTTCTGTGAGCTTCAAATCTGTCGTATTAAAAGGCTGGAAAAAAGAATAAGAATCCCTAAATCATGGTATTGTTATGAGAAGTAAGTCGAGATATCAATTAGGAAAAAAAATTACTGTGCCGTTTTCCCAAGTACGTCTGCAGCCCCAAAAGCCGTTTACCCTGTGAAAGGTCCAGGTCCTGCCGGTTAGGTTCCTCTCCTCTCCTTGACAGAGAAAGTACACGGATGTGTGAGCAGTAAACCAGTGTGTGCCCCCAGGTGCTGTACCTGAAGTCGCCCACAAAGACCCTGACTGGGCAGAGACTCCGGGCCGGGGGGACTTTCACACAGGATGCCCCAAATCATTCTTTTTTTTTTTTTTTTAATTTTTTTTTAACGTTTATTTTATTTTTGAGACAGAGAGAGACAGAGCATGAACAGGGGAGGGGCAGAGAGAGAGGGAGACACAGAATCGGAAGCAGGCTCCAGGCTCTGAGCCGTCAGCACAGAGCCCGACGCGGGGCTCGAACTCACGGACCGCGAGATCATGACCTGAGCCGAAGTCGGCCGCTCAACCGACTGAGCCACCCAGGCGCCCCAAAATCATTCTGAGAGAAAAGAATCTGCGTCTTTATCAAAGAGGAAGAGGACCTTCCACAAACTCCTCTGACAAATCACTTGAAGAGTGATGATAGTCCCGGTCGGTTCCAAATCTCCAACCTAAATCCCCCATGCTCCAGATGAAATCCCTTCTTCTTGCCCTTTCCCTTCACAGAGCCCCTTTTTCTATGAAAGAAGGTCTTGCCTCCACCCTATTAAATTACCCTGCACCTGTCCCTCAGCAGAACACCATCAAGACCCCGTAACCACCTTCATTGTTTTTTTTTTTAAGTCTTTTGATCCAGTTTTATTGAGATATAATTGGCATATAACAATATATTAGTCTGAGGCATACAACATAGTGATCTGATATACGTACAGATTGCAACATGATCACAGTAAGATGTTCTTTCTTCAGCAGTCTCTTGCTTTTCCTCCGAGCCTCTAACCACGGGGCCACGATGAAAGGCTGGCCTCTCGTCTAGTCCTGACCCTACACACCCGTCGTGTTGGGGTTTCCACCTCACATTTCCGGGTGGAGTTTTGTTTGCTTGATATCACTGAACGATCAATCTGTTTCCCACCGCTGCTCCCTCACTTGGTCTGAGTTTTGGTGAGCACAGTTGGTTTTACCACCTAAGAAAACCATCTGGCTACCTCAGCCCCGGTTCAGTTTCACTCAGACAAGGAAGGTGTGTGTGAATTCTAAAATGACCTTAAAATAGAAGGTGGGGAGCTGCCCTCCCATCTCTTCCAAAGCTTGTCACAGGGATGACCATGAAAGAGGCAGCACCAGGAGAAACAGCAGGGCCCCACCCCAGGAAAGTGGGGGATCCAAAGTCTACGACCAGTTGGCCCTCACTACTCTGTGGTTAGCTCTGTTGTTTCCTACGTCTGAAACGGCTTCTCTGTCTTGCCTACCTCCTAACAGCCTTGTCATCTAGTGAGGTCTGGCTCAACTGTTAGAACCCTCATAAAGCTTTCTCTATTTCCTCTGACAAGAGGACAAATGGCCAGCCAACACATGAAAGGTGCTCACCCTCACAATCAAGAAAATGAACATTAAAACAATACAACAACACTCTTCACCACTGAAATTATGTAAAAACAAAATATTGGGCAACACCAGGCATGAGAAAGGGTGTGGAAAAATAAAGACTTTCATATCCTGTTTACTGGGCTCGCTACATTGGCGGAGCCACTGTGGAGAATAAATTGGCTGCATGTAGTAAAATTTTAAACATACACACCTTGTGAACAAGCAATTCCACTTCTCCGCACTCACCCTTGGAGAGGTACTCCTTACACAAATGCACACAGAGAACTGACAAGAATATTCTTTGAGAGTTGTTTAAATAGGGACAAGTTGGAAGCCACCTAAGTATCCATCAATAGGGCAACCGATAAATAAACTACTATGCAGTCATTCTGTGAGATACCAGGCAATAGTTAAAAGAATATAGTAGATAGAGACGATGAGACCCAATGGCAATGAGCACACTAGTGTGCAGATCTTGGTCTATCATACTATTCCCTATTAGAAGAGACCAAGGTTCCTTGGAGAAATGGCTCAATCTGGGGCAATCTGGGGCTGAGACAGGGTAGGTACAAGATGAGCCTGGAACATTTTGTAACGCCAGAAAGTAAAAAAGTACTCAAAAAATGATGGGTACATGTCACAAGGACACAGGAAGCGACTTCCACTGGCCAAATCTGAGACATTTTGAGCGCCAAAATAATTAAGGAAAGTAACAGATAGACCATTTAAAAATTAGAACCCATGAGTCCACAATAAATAGGTAAACAAATACATAAGGGGAAAAGGAGGACCCTGCCAAGCCCATTGGTGTATGTGGAGGGGTTGTTACAGCTGGCTAATCATCATTTTGCAACCATCTTAATAAATATTGGTTCAGGCAAGAATCATTAGTGGATGCTAAGTCTGGGAAGAAATACTGATGGAGAGCAGGCTATTTGCCTGGTCTTAAGGGTCTTCCAACAGAATGCATATTCATTCCGAGGGGGGAAAAAACAGCACCTTTAAAGGAGACAAATCAGACAACACCTTAACCAGGTGATCAAAATTAGCATCACCAACGAGGGCCGAGCAGATACTGTGAGGGGGCAGAGGTAGCACCTGAAAAGGACCTATAGAATACTCTGGCTTAAAATGCATGCCCTGAATCTAATAATCTAACCCTAAGAGAACACTGGAGAACCCAAAATAAGAAACAGTCCATTCCATAAAAAGCGCTTGTAGTCTTCAAAAGCGTCAATAGGATAAAATACAAAGAAAGCCTGTAAAAATGTTCCATGCTAACAAAAGAACAAAAAGACACGACAACTAAGAACAGTATCTCATCCTAGACAGCATCCTAGATTGCAGGGAGGAGTACTACAAACGACATAAGTTGATTAATTGCCGGAAGAAATGGCATATAGGTGGTGACTACCATCTACCAATATTACATCTAGAGAAGTTGATAACTACCATGGCTTTTTAAGAGAATATCTTTACTCTTAGGAAATCCACAGTGAAGCATTTAGGGGGAAAGGAGTATAACAACAGTACCTACTCTCAAGTGATTCAGAAAAGAAAACTGCATTATATGTATAATGTGTGTGTATAAACATTATACACACACACACACACACACACACACACACACACACACACACATAGCAGACAGGGCAAAACATTAAAAGGTATTTGAAGATCTTTGAACTATTCGTATTATTCTTGCAACTTTTACATTTCAAAATAAGAAGTTATGGCTTCAAAAGGAAGAGTGGTTTAAAAAAAGAGTGATGTAGCTATGTGTACCTGCATAGAAAGAGCTCCGAACATACCGATAAGTGGGGAAAAAAATGGACAAGATAACGCAGTCAGTGGGATACTTCCCATATTACATCCATTTGTGCGTTAAGTGATGCACAGAGAAAGGTCTGGAGGAACACACCCCAATGTATCGTATGGTTTACCCTTGAGAAAGGGGAAGAGGAGACCAGCTTATCTGCAGCAACGGTTTCACTTTTTATGAGTGCATTTATGAATTGGTCACATAACTAGAAATAACTTTTTTTAGAGGGGAAAGTTGCCCTCCTCTCAGTTCCCTCCAGTGACAAAGATCACGGCTCAGGTTTTCTGAGACAATACTCATTTAAATGGTGGAGCCCACTCTAATATTTGACAGTCTCTGAAACGACCTGGCCTTGGGATCTGGGAAATCTGATCAGGAAATGGCAGCAGTGTGAGGTGTCTGGAAAGACGCTGGGCTTCAGGGTCAGACAGAGCTAGTTTGAAGCCTTGCCTCCATCATTCACTGAGGGTACATTATCGGGCAAGAGACAGACCTCTCTAAACCTCCATTCCTCTATCTGGAAAAAAGGAAACAATACCATAGAGCAGAGTTGGTGAGCCTTGGGTACAGGGTACATACTTGCGGGTCGTAGCATACACATAAAACACCAAGCCCCTCCTGGGGCTGGCACAGAGCATCTTTCGATTGTCACTCATCTGACCTCTTTGTTGTGATTTGTTTGCATGCACTCTTGCCCTGTGAGCCCAGACGCTCTTTAAGGAAGGGTCCATCCATTACTCATTTCTCTCCTTCCAACTATGCCTCCTAGGACATTGTGCACTGGCACCTGGCAAACATTTGGTGGGAGGAAACATGAACCTTGTCACAGAAAATCTAGAGCAACATGTACGTATGCTTTGAGGCCCCAGGTTTGCGTTAGAATTCTCCAGTGCAAGTACACACAGTCTCTGAAGTCACTGTATAGAAATCTCTAAGTGCCAAGAAGATGAAGAGGTGACCGATGACCCTACATATTCCTGATCAGTGGGGGTGAAAGAGCACTGTGAGCATTCCCCAAAGCCAAAGATGTCATCCAGTAATAGATGTTATTTTTTTTTAATGTCGCATGGTCAAAAATGTTTGGGAAATGCCATTAGACAAAACACGCTCGTGTACTACAGGACTTATCAGTGCCAATGCATATCATGAATACCCAACAGACAATATAATTTGGAGTATCTTCCAAGTTTATTTGACTATAAAACATCCCCCCCTTTTTTTTTTTTTTTTTTTTTGAATCTCAAGGCCTACATCCCATAGAACAGGCTTTGGAAAACGCTGCTTGAAGCTGTTTCTCCACTGTCAGTACATGGTAAGAATAATATTTAGTGGAAATTTAACAATATAACTTGCTCACCTAACCCAAGAGGGAGAAGGAATAAAGTAAACCAAGAGCTTAAGGGTTGCTATCAATTCCCCTCTTATTCCTCCTCTTCCTCTTCTCCCTTCTAATCCAAGGAACGTGTGCGAAAAATCAGTTATGACCCCAAATCTAAAAATAAAGACCCCAGTATTATCATTGAAGTCATTCAGCTTCACTTACTCCGGCCTGTTCAATCCTACTCATCAATGGATTAGACAAACGGCTGAAGGA